TACATCTTCAGGAGAAACAACAGCAACAAAAAACATTGATCATAGGAACTTTCAGGGCATTGGCACCAATCCCAGGACAATCTACAGGTAAAAACAGATCAAAATCAATTGAACTATGGACCGAAATGCGTAGCTTCCTCTAGCATCTCCATTCTCCATCTTTTCAGTCATGGATGCTCATTGCTCATCCTATTCATGATCTCCATCGTTTCCCAAACGTTCAGTGGGCTCCTAGTGAAAAGCAGGAGCTTCTAAGCTGCCTAGCAATTTGGTGTGGCTGCACTTGAGCCAATGGGATGTGAGTGGTAGCACCGTCTACAACTTGCATTTAGGTAGCCTCAACTTTCTCATCTGCCCTCCAAGATGAAACTGGGGAGAGGGTGATGGTAGCTGTTAGCCTTGACTGTGCAGATGAGAACAGTGACTGTGTCAGGGCATTGTTGCCACACATGTGGCCCTGCAACCTCAGCATCACTTGGAAACTGATTGAAATTGCAGCCTCTTAGAATCTTCACTGGGCACCCTGGGTCTGATTTCACACTTTACTGAGGGGCACAGGTGATTTGCATGTGCTCAATCTTGGGAAGCACAAAAGAAACAGAGCATAATGATCCTGGGTCTTATTTCACCTCATTACCAGTTTAATCTGTACCCTAACAGGAACTCTTCCTAGGAAACAACCCTTCCCGGTCTTAGAGGTTCCAGGCTGAGGCACTTGCCAGCTTACTTACTCAGCAAAGCCAGGATCCCTCCAAGAATCCCCAGGATGGCAGGAACTTGCAATCCTGCTTCCACATACCCCGACCTCATGCAGTTGTTGACAGCCCCTTCACAGTCACACACAATGATGTCCAGCGTGGTCACCTGGTCTTTTTTCTGGTTATCCATGAGCTTGAGATTGATTTTGTAATCGCCCAACTCTAAGGCCTTTTTTGGCTTCAAAATGAGAGATTCTTGAGCTGGAAAGGAAAACAAATGATGAGACCAGGGGAGGTCACAGAACAAAAAGCTCAGTAAAATCCAAATGTTTAGGGAACCAAAGACATACAGTGCTGGGGAAGGAATTGCTTTGGGTTTGTATTGCTGTCGAGTATGTCTCAGAGGAAAAGGAGCATGCAGGAAATGTAGAAGGAACTGGCATCACATATCAGGGGGAAGGAGAAGAGAGGGAGCTTCCTGAAGTGAGAAGGCAGAAGCGAGGCAGGCAGGGCTGCTCTAGAAATGGAGCTGGACTCCACACCTGGGTCGTTGTACTCGATGGTCCAGTTGACACTGGCCCCATGTGTTAGTTCAGCAGTGAAGGGCGATGTATTGGGAGGAAGGTCTGGATCAAGGATATTGATGACATGAGGCTGTGGGTTCCTCTGGCAGAATTGCATGCTTCGAGGTTCTGGGATGGGAGCGTTGTCATTGATGTCAAATAGAACCAAGAGAAGGGTCCCCGTGCCAGTGGCAATTGGTGAACCTAGGAGAAAACAGAAAGGCCATCACAGATCAGGGGTATTATCGCCAGCAGTCCAAATTTTGTGTTAGCTTATCTGTGATCCCTCAGCAGGTTCCACACTGCCCACACAGCCTCTGTCCTACCACTTACCCCCCCCTTTCTGGCAAGCTCATTGTGTACTTTGTGCACAATCATTGGGTTATTCCTCATATCAAAGGCAGCTTTCTTTTTCCTGATATAATATATTCATCTATTTAAGTTTTGGGGCTTATTGTTTTTGTTTTTTTGTTTGTTTTGAGACAAGGTCTTACTGTGTAGTCTTGATACAGCTGATCATTTAAAAAAAAAAAAAAAAGCTTAGTGTGGTGGTGGTGATTGCTTGGATTTTTTTTTTTTTTAAGACAGGGTTTATCTGTGTAGCCTTGGCCATCCTGGAACTCACTCTGTAGACCAGGCTGTCCTGGAACTCAGAGATTTGCTGGAATTAAATGTGTATGACACCCCCACACAAACACACACCCAGCACTTGCTTGGAATCTTAGAACTTACAGGTAGGGGAGGGTCACCTCAAATTTGAGGACTTCTGGGCTATATGTGAATTCAAAACTGTCAGGGGCTGTGGTGGTGCACACCTTTAATCCCATCACTTGGGAGGGAGCAGGAAGGAAGGAAGGAAGGAAGGAAGGAAGGAAGGAAGGAAGGAAAGGCAAGAAGGCTGCAGAGTGATGGAGCCCAGTGATGTGGATTGGGCCACATGGTGTCCGTACCATCGTCTGTGGCAATGATGAGAGCTGTATATGTGCTGTTCTTCACGTGCTCCGTGTCTTCTCTGTCCATCTCAGCCCGGGTGGAAATGGCACCAGTCTCTGGGTTAATCTCCAGCCAATTGGCAGTGTCCCTCCAAATCCGATACCTGAGGACACAAGCTCTGACTTAGAGTGGGGGCAGCAAACATGATGGAACTGAAGTCATGGGTTCTCTTCACTTGTGACACACCCATACACATATTTTCTTATGTATATATGAGCGTGCCTGTATGTGCACCGCATGGAAAAGAGGTCAAAAGAGATGCCAGATCTCCATGAACTAGCGTTACAAATGTTTGTGAGCCTCCATGCGGGTGCTGAGAACTGAACTACAATCCTTTGGTTAAAAAAAAAAAAAAAAAATTGATGGGGGGTAGGGTGTTTCAGGGGATAAAGGATTGTTACCAAGCTTTGACAATTTGAGCTTGATACCAGGGACCTATGTGGCAGAAGGAAAGAACTGACACCCATTGGCTATGCACATAAAGGTAATTCTTCAGTGAAACTGAAGCCATCTTAATTAGTTTGACAAATTATACAATGTTCCCAAAATGATCAAACTTGTAATGGGTATATTTCTCAGAATGTATCACTACATAAACAAATGACTACACTTATATTTACTTAAATTATATGTACAAACAAGAAAGAAGCAGGGCAATGCTGGCGCACACCTTTAATCCCAGCACTGGGGAGGCAGAGGCAGGAGGATCTCCGTGAGTTTGAGAGCAGCCTGGTCTACACAGTGAGTGCCAGAACAGCTAGGACTACACAGTGAAACTCTGTCTTGTAAAACAAAATGAAATAAATAAATAAAATAAAAAACAAAGTGTGAATACATACCAATACCCACTCAATACTGGTCATTGGTCCTACTTACGTGATCTTCTGCTCCATGAATATGTCTGGCTCTCGGGCAGTATAAGATGCGATTTCCTGACCCACACCAAAGTCTTCAGGCACTTGCACTCTCTTCTCAGCAGGCACAAAGATGGGGGCTTCGTTCACATCGAGCACATCTACAGTGACAGTGGCTGTGGAAGGGACAGGAGAGCCCTCAAAAGAGACCACATTCCCCACTGTCACATGCAGAATGTACTGCTGCTTGGCCTCAAAATCCAAGCCCTAAAGAACAGGAGGGAAAGAAAAACAAGTCAAAACTAAAATACCAGGGGTGGGGTGTGTGACTCAGTGATAAAGAACTTGTCCAGTATGCTCAAGGCCCTGAGTTCAACCATCATTGTCATTGAACAAACAAATATGCTTAAAAAATGGCTAGTAGAAAAAAAAAATTTTTTAATCTCAGCACTCAGGAGGCAGAGGCAGGTGGATGTGTGAGTTTAAGGCAGGCCTGATCTACAGAGTGAGTTCCAGGACAGCCAGAGCTACACAATGAAAAGCTGTCTCCAAAAACAAAAACAAAAGTTTAATTTCAGCTACCACTTTTATTGACAGTAGTTCGAAAACATGGTTGCTCACTTGCTGAAGAGGACATTAAAGCTCTAAGATACTCTAGGTATCTGTTAACTTTTGCTAAATTCAACCACTAAGTCATCCCCACTTTTAGTTTAGACATTTTCCAAAGACTTGTAGGCAGTTGTAAGTGCTGGGTACCAAATCTAGGTCCTCTGCAAAGCAACAGGTGCTCTTTTTTTTTTTTAAAGATTTTATTTATTGGGATGGAGAGATGGCTCAGTAGTTAATAGCACTCACTTCTTGTTCTTCCAGAGGTCCTGAATTCAATTTCCAGCAACCACATGGTGGCTCACAACCATCTGTAATGAGATCTGGTGCCCTCTCCTGGACTAGAGGCAACATGCAGACAGAACACTGTACACATAATAAATCATAAGAAATAAATAAATCTTTTTTTAAAAAAAAGATCTTATTTATTTATTATGTATACAACATTCTGCTTCCGTGTATATCTGCACACCAGAAGAGGGCACCAGATCTCATAATGGATGGTTGTGAGCCACCATGTGGTTGCTGGGAATTGAACTCAGGACCTCTGGAAGAATAGCAGTGCTCTTAACCTCTGAGCCATCTCTCCAGCCCCGTAACAGGTGCTCTTAACGACTGAGCCATCGTCTTTCTAACCCACTGGTTCTCAACCTTCCTAATGCTGTGGAGCTTTAATACCCAACCATACAATTATTTTCATTGCTACTTCATAACTATAATTTTGCAACTGTTATGAGTCATAATGCAAATATCTGTTTTCTGATGGTCTTAGGTAACCCCTGTAAAAAGGGTCATTTAGCCCTCGAAGGACACGCCCCACAGGGTGAGAATCACTGTCTAGCCTCAGGCTTTAGGACATTTTTTTGAAAGAGCCACACTTACTTCACTTCTAACAAGACAGCTAACAGCTAAGAGTTTCTGCAAGCCCCAGAAGGTCAGTACCATCCTCAGACTACCCCTCCCCTGCCAGTGCTGATCCACTCATGAGAAGACATTATGGGATGAGAGGCCCAGCAGTTAACACCTCAGTCACCAAGTGCCATACAAACCTTAGTTGTTTTCAGAGTGCCATCATTGGTTGTGGGGTCTGTGATGATAACAAATTGTTGTTCAGGATCATTGACTATGGTGTACACGGCCTCCCACGCTGGAGTATGGGGCAAATCATTGTCAGTTACTTTGAGTGTGGTGATATAGGCATTGGCCTCATTCTCAGACACTTGACCCAGGTACTACAGAGCAAAGGAAAAATTGGGTCATTAGTGACAAGACGACATTAAGCATGGAGCCAGTATTTGGGCTAAAGGAATGAAATCCAAGTAGGTGGGATGAGTGAGGTCAAGAGAAGCACATGAGCCCCCAAGGATGACAGTATCTATCCTAGGAGTAGGCCCTTATTTCCCATCAGTAGACCAACTAGCAGCCCCGAACACCCTCTTCTACAGATACCTGAAAATAGCCTTTCAAAGCCCTGGCTACAAGAACCATCTGATGGCTTCATTGTCTGCTGACTATGATCTTAAGACACACATGCCATTTGCCCCCAGTCCCCATTTACACTCTAATCTCTATTAGTAACCATTAAAAAAGATAAGTGATGGCTCTACACCCTGCCTTCTGTCCTTTGGCCAGTGCCCTAGCCTCAGCCTCAGGTGAGTCTGGGCGCTGCTGTTTCCCAACCTCTCCCATCAACCCCTGCTCGATTCTGCCTGAAGCCTCCCCCCCCCCACAAGAGTGGACCAGCCCAGACCAGGAGGCCCACCCTGAGTCCGGACATACCTCACCCCTGTCTACACCCTGCCCTCTGTCCGGCAGCGGGGGGCCTAGGCTCAGAGCCCTCATCCAGTGGCTGATGGAAGCAGAGGCAGACATCCACAGATACACACTGAACTGAACTCTGGAACTTAGTTGCAGAGAGGGAGGAATGAAGATCGAAGGGGTCAGTACCAGGTTGGAGAAACCCACAGAAACAGCGGGCCTGAACAAGGGGGAACACATCAACCCCAAATGCTGTCTGGGAGGCCAGTACAGGACTGATCCAGACCCCTGAACATGGATGTCAATGAGGAGGCCTCTGCACACTAGGAGGCCACTGGTAGTATTTTTACTATTATTTATTAGTATTATTTATTAGTATTTTTCCCCAGTATGAGAGACTCATCCCATCCCACATGAAGTGATGCACTCTTGTCCTGGACACATGGGGGAGGGTCTAGGCCCAGCCCAGGATGATGTGGTGGACTTTGCAGGACCCCCCCCCCCCCCCGTTGAGGGTCCTACCCTGACTGGGGAGTGAAAGGTGGATGGGGTGGGGGGTAGGTCGGGTTGGGGTAGGAGGGGTAAGGGTGAGGCGAGGGAGAGGGAGAAGGGAGAAGGGATTGACATGTGAAACAAGCTTGTTCCGATTTTGAACTAATAAAAATAAAATTAAATAAAAAGATAAGTGATGAAAGAGCAATTATCCCTGGGCTTTTTGTTACATAAGAGGAATAAAGCCAAACCCTGCCTTTTGAAACTACGCTATTCAGGCCTCTGTATAGAACCATTAAATCAACTTCTAACCAACTCAGTAAAATATGATCTTCTCAGTTGGGCGTTGGTGGCACATGCCTTTAATCTCAGCACTCAGGAGGCAGAGGCAGGCGGATCTCTGTCAGTTCGAGGCCAGCCTGATCTACATAGCAAGTTCCAAGACAGCCTCCAAAGCCACAGAGAAAACCTGTCTTGAAAAACCAAAACAAACAAACAAAAAAAAAAACAAAAAAAACAACAACAAAAAAAAGATCTTCCCTTCCAAAACTACAAAGCTGAACATGGCAGTACATGCCTGCCTGCAAAGCTGGGCTATAAAAGGCTGTGTCCCAAAAATTTTAATCTAATTGAAAGTGTGTGTGTGTGTGTGTGTGTGTGTGTGTGTGTGTGTGTGAGAGAGAGAGAGAGAAAGAGAGAGAGAGACAGACAGAGAGAGACAGAGAGAGACAGAGACAGAGTTTCCTTTATCTGTCTCTTAAAGCCTTCTCCTTGAATGCATTCAATATTACTTGCTTTCGATAATGATTACAAAGCTGAGCATGGCAGCTTGCAGCTGTAACCCAATGTTTAGGAGGAATATTGTTGAGTTGTAGGCCAGGTTGGATCACGCAATAAGATCTGTAATAATATATGATGATAATAATGATAATAATAATGATAATAATAATAATAATAATAATAATAATAATAATAATAATCCTATAAATTGTAAGTTCCACAAGACTAGAAAACCTGTCAGCTTTGTGTTGGCACATCTCCAGTATGTAACACAGGGTGGAATATAAACTTAAAAATGTGATGAATAAGTGAGACCCAGGAAGACTATGCAGAACTAAGGACATGAATTCATCAGGAGCTTTTGGCAAAATACAATCCTATGTCAATGGGCCCCAGGCCAAGGATGGAAGAAAGATTTCGAAGACGGTAGTTACTCTAGTATGCTGGCTTCTAAGTTTGAAGTTCACATTCACTGACCTGGGGATTCACCCATGCATAGAGGCACAACTTAGTTTGTGATCAATAAAAAGCCTCTCGCAGAACTAAGAAGCTGCCGAATTACCGTGGTTGGGTTGAAGACAGGGGCGTTATCATTAATATCATCGACGGTGATCACAGCTGTTGCTGTTGTGCTTAAGCCTTCGCCTTGAAGGTCAGCAGCTTGAACCACCAGGGTATATGTAGGATAACTCTGTAGACATCAAACACATAGAATCAGAACCCGCTCCAACAGCCATCCCAAGCCTGGTGCAGCCCAATATATATAGAAAACTAGAATATTTCATCATCTGCTTCACTGCCCAAGCTGCCTGCCTCCAGGCACAGAGCTTCTGGGCAGGTATTTAGATGCAAAGCTGAGCCACTCACACTAACTAACCAATAGGCTCAGCAGAGGGTTGCACTGTCTGTGAGATTTAGCATACATTTGCCTTCACCTCCCAATGCCATCGTCCTGAGCCCTAACTGACCTCTCGGTCCAGCCCAGAGGTAACAACACTGATGACCCCTGTGTCTCTATTGACAGTGAACATGTTCTTATGAGGCAGCTCAGGATCTTGGCTGATGATGGTATAGGCGATAGCAGCATTGTAAGTGTTCTCATTGTCGTCTGCATCAGTTGCTGAGACCTGCATCACAGAGGTCCCTGGAAGTATCAAAGGAGAAGAGATTTAAATGGGATGCAGTTGCTACATTGGGATCTGCTCCTGAGTGCTCAGAACAATCCTGTCCTAAGAGATCACCACACTTGGTCAGTTTTTATTTCCAAAATTCTCATCAAATTGCTAGTGAAGGGAGCACTATACCAAACCAGTCATGTTCAGGGAACTGAATTTTCAGAGCCTATAATTTAGGTGTGAGGAAGAAAGAAGAGTGTAGGGAATAAATTAACTAAAATATCCCTGCCAAATCCTTCTCTTTTCCTCCTAATACTTATTTTTAAAGATTTTATTGTTGTTGTTGTTGTTGTTATGCATGTATGCATGTGTATACATGCAGATTCTCTCAAAGGCCAGAAGAGGATGTCATATCCACTGGAGCTGGAGTCACATGCATGCACCACCAAGCCCTAGGAAGGTTATTCTTTTATTGTTTCTACTTACAAATGTTTCTATGGGTAGAATGTTATATCTGGTCCTCTACACCTCATTTCTCACAATGGCTTTCAAAGAATATGTCTGAACTTCAGTGACCTGACCCTAAGTTGTAATCCCAAAGAATTGAAGTGTTTCTGGGTACGAAATTCCCCGTGACTGGTTTACCTGGACGAGCACCCTCTAAGACATTTCCATGAAAGACCTGCTTGATGAACTCTGGTCTGTTGTCATTCTGATCAGTCACTGTGATCACAATCTCCATGGGATCCTCCACTGCTTCCCCATTTGATGACACAGCATGGGAATAGAGCTGCAAGAGCCAAGTGAGGGTTACTTAGCACCTGACCAGAAGAAGAGCTGGGCAAGGGAGTCTGCCTAGAGTGGCTTCATCTAGCCTCCTCTCCTTCCACTGTGAGTCCTTCATGTGAGAATTTTCTACAACATATGTGGCTGCTTAATGAACTCATGATGAACCAAGTCCCAAGGCTAGAGAACACACCAACCAGGCACAATGCCTATTTATCACATAGACACTCACTTCAACTGGGGTAATTTTCCTCTGGCCATTCCAGTCTAATGTTTCCCTGAGATTTTTCTACATTTGGCATCGACAGATTACCTTCCTCACACATTGTAACCAAGTCCCAGAAGCAGAAGTAGACAGAAGTGGGAGTAGATTTTCTCTCCATTATTGTCATCAGAATACATTTCGACTAGGTAAGAAACTTCTGACATCTTTTCATTTATGTCTGTCTATCTCTGTCTGTCTGTCTGTCTGTCTGTCTGTCTCTCTCTCTCTCTCTCTCTCTCTCTCTCTCTCTGTGTGTGTGTGTGTGTGTGGGTGGGTGGGGTTCACATGCACTTTCATGCAGAACAAGGAGGGCATAAGAGGATGTCAGAGCACCTGGAGCTAGAGTTTCAGATGGTTGTAAACCACCTAATCTGAGTGCTGGGAACTGAAGTCAAAATTCTCTACAAAAGCAACAAATTTGGGTTGGAGAGATGGCTCAGCTGTTAAAGGCTAGGCTCACAACCAAAAATATAAGAGCAACAAATGCTCTTAACTGTTGAGCCATCTCATCTCTCCACCCCCGCTTTGACAACTTCTATCTATGCTCATGTATGGTGTGAGGATTTCCTGCTTTTCTCCTATAAGGAAACAAAGCAACTAACCATCCCAAATTATTCTCTTGGCTTCACATTATCAACACGTCAAGGGGTAAGTTAAGTTACTCACACAGCCAAGGCATGTATGTGGCCTAGGGATAAAACATGGGTTGCCCCCCAAACTTGACACTTGTTACCCAATGATCATCAAGTATCTAAGAAATACTCACAATGTACTTGGCAATATTTTCTCTATCCAGAGGCTCTGTCACTTTCAGCCAGCCTGATTCTCTCTCAATGATAAACACACCAACAGGGGGTCTGTCAGCTCCTTGGCCAGTGATGCTGTAGAAAACCGTGGTTTCTTTGTCCCTATTGGATTTGATCTGAACACAAAACAGAAAAGAAACAGAATTGGCAAAAAAAAAAAAAAAAAAAAAAAAAAAAAAAAAAAAAAAAAAGGTCTTGACATTGAATCCTTTCATTTTCTCTTCTCTCAGTCCTTCCATACCTGAACCAAGTTTTTAGGAAATGGGCCCTTCTCATTTTCCGGGCAGCTGATGGGGGGGATAACCCAGTCTCGTTTCTGTCTTCTGGGACCCTGGTGAGAGCTGGGAAATGTGAGCATTTCTGGTTGGGATCCAGAGACAGGGTCCTAAGAGGAAAGAAGATTAACAAAAATGAAGTAATTTAGAAGACACACAACACAGGTCTAACAGTTCAATCTATCTCACTGATGTCTCCCATCTTCTAAAGGTGGTGTACATTTGAATTTAAGGACTCAATCTCAATAGCAAATTCTGTGTACCATCCAAAATGAAGAGCTGAAACATAAACCAAAGAATTCCTGACAATGCTATTGTTTGGACACTGGCTGCCAATAATGTTCCCTGTGCTTGAAAGCTTAGGTCCTAGCTTAGTGGCCAATGAGAGGTCTTCAGACCACAGGAGATATTTCCTTGAAGCATACCGTGAGACTCCAGTCTCTGCTTTGCTTTTTGTATTATAAGACAATTGGTTGTTCTCCTATATGTTCCCACTCTGATGTGCTGCCCTTACCAGAGGACAAAATTACAATGTTATTTGGTCTTAAACCTCCAGAACAAAAACCCAAGTAAAACCTTTTATTTTAAGTCAATTGCCCCAGGAATTTTGTTATAGTGTCAGAAGGCTAACTAATACAGCCATATAACAAATAACTATATTTTCCTTAAATTCTTTTTCTTTTCTTTTCTTTTTTTCTTTTCTTTTTTTTTTTTTTTTTTTTTTTTTTGTGGCTTTCAAGACAAGGTTTTTCTGTGTAGCCCTAGTTGTCCTGGAACTTACCCTGGCCTTGAACTCAAGAGATTTGCCTGCCTTTGCCTCCAGTGCTAGGATTAAAGTCATGCATGATCACCACTAGGCTGAGCTCTTTAAATTCTTAATATCCAGAATTCAAATAACCACTGTGCATCTACACAATTTGTGGGTGTGAAATTTGACAATTGCATTTAAAAGTTATTTCAGCCAGGCAGTGTTGGCACACCCCTTTAATCCCAGAACTTGGGAGGCAGAAGCAGGTGGATCTCTGCGAGTTCAAGACCAGCCTGCTCTACAAGAGCTAGTTACAGGACAACTTCCAAAGCCACAGAGAAACCGTCTCTCGAAAAACCAAAAATAAATAAATAAATAGAAGTTATTTCAGGCTTATGTAATACGTGTCCTTTAAATGGCATTATACTCCGATAATATCAGAGGGGATTTAGTTCTGGACTCCCAAATATCTAGGGATATAGTTCTCTAAGTGGAGTTATCAATCTTGTTTAATTTACCAAACTTGTTTAAGTTTGGGGAATTGCTACTAAGAACTACTTTGAGATCAATACAAATGTGTTAATCTTATTGTGTCCTATCTCTAAGGGTTCCATTTGTTCTAACAGAAGCTGCTGGGATGGGAAACAAAAATAACCTGGAGACTGGTATTGAACAGTTCCAATGTGCAATAAAGATAATTTCATGCACACTCAGGGAAATAAGAGAGCTGAAGACGAAAGGAAAATGCCTCCTAAATTGCTTAAGTGTTTTAGAATGACTCAAGGTAACAAAGTTCTAGAAGATTTCACCCTCTCCTTTCATGGGGAGATACTCATTTATCAGAGACTATATAGCCTGCCAAGTTCTAATCAAGCCCTATTTCCTTTTTGCTTGTTTGTTTGGGCGTTCTTTTAGAAACATTCTCTGGCTTCAAGCTGTGTAGCCAAGGATGATCTTGACCTTCAGCTCTTCTTCCTCCACCTATCACAGATGACAGACACGTGCCACCATGCTGTCCATGTGGTGGCGGGGAACAGAAGCCAGGGCCTCATGCATGCTAGGCAAGGACTTTACCAATTGAGCTACATTTTTGTTTATTCAGCCCTTCTGTTTTTGTTGCTTTTCTTCTAAGATCTAAAACATAAAATGTGACCCGGGATTCTAGAACCCATTCCCACAGACCTGTCACATAAACACACACATCCTACACACTCTGCCCTTACCATCCTTTCATTTGTCAACTACAGAAGAAAGCCACCATGGGCTAGGGGCTGGCTAGCTAGCTTTTAATTCTCAGTATAGCTCCCCATCTGCCTCCAGAGGGGATCTCATAACCTCTGGGTGAACTGTCCCAATGTCTAAAGTGGGCATTTGTTTTGTTTTGTTGAGATAGGGCCTGCTTCACAGTGTAGCCCTGGCTGCCCTGAAAGTCACTATGTAAACCAGGCTGGCCTCTAACTCCTAGAAATCTACCTGTCTCTACTTTCCAAGTGTTGGTACTAGAGGTGTATGACACCGCTCAGGCTAAAACTGAGATTTTGGTATTGGTGCCAATGTCCTAGAGAGCTTGGAAGGACTAAATGATACTTGTTTACATATAAAGTATCTAGAGTAGTACCTGAAACACAGCAAGTGTTCAGTAATGAAGATGACCATGGTTGGAAAACACTGACATAATATTTGGGGGGGGGGGATTTAACTCCAGTGCAAGAAGAATTTAAGAAACTGCCCATCAACACCACACTCTAAGCCTTCAAATGGCCATATGACACAGTCACAATGAACAGCTAGAGACTGGCCATATTGAAAAGGAAGATAAAGGTCCCACCTTGCCAAGCTGCAGGGTATTCACAGAGATAAATGGTGAGTAACTTGTGTGTGTGAGGGCAAAAGGAGAATCATGCCTAAACATTCCGAACATGAGAAAACTCAACCAGACAAAGGGAAAGAACTAGAAAGTTAGATTCCAGTGTGCTTGCATGTAACGATTATCACAGGTGTGTGTTGATCAGAGGACAGCCTCAGTCTCTCAGTTTTTTGTCACTGTGCACACCAGGCTAGCTAGCCCATGAGTGTCACTTTCCTGGATCTACAGACCCATACCACTTCACTCAGCTTAGTATGGGTTTTGGGAATTCACACTTAAGGTCCTCAAGCTTATACAAAGCAAGTGCTGCACCTCCTAAGCCTTCACTTTGTGAGTGATACAAAGTCTTGTTTTGTATGGCTGAGTTTCGCCTGGAACTTACAATCCTTCTGCCTCAGCCTGATATTACAAGTCTGTGCAACCATTCCAAGACATTCTTCCATTTTCTCTTTGTACTCTGGTTTGTTGTTTTGTGTTTGTTATTTATTTATTTATTATTTTGCATGACTGGTTTGCTTTTTTGATACTATGCAACCAACCACCTTGGCTATCCTGGAACTCTCTATGTAGACCAGACTGGCCTTGAACTCACAGAGATCCACCTGCCTCTGCCTCCAGAGTGCCTGAATTAAAGGCATGTGTCATCATGGCCAGGTAGCTTTGCTTTTTTGAGACAGAGCTTTACTCTGTAGCTCAGGCTGGTCTAGAATTTACTATATAGCTCAGGCTGCTCTCAAACTCACAACAAACCTCTCTTAGATTTCTAAATGTTAGGATTAAATCATGACCCACCATATTTGGTTCTTTGTTTGTTTGTTTTTGTTTATTTATTTGTTTGTTTTTATTTTTTGAGACAGGGTTTCTCTGTGGCTTTGGAGGCTGTCCTGGAACTAACTCTTGTAGACCAGGCTGGTCTCATACTCACAGAGATCTGCCTCCCGAGTGCTAGGACTAAAGGCGTGCACCACCAACGCCCAGCTGGTTCTTTATTTTTGAGACAGAGTCTTGCAATATAGTTCTGGCTGGCCTTGAAGTCATACAAACCCTTCTTCCCTGCCTCCCAAGTGTTGGAATTAACCTTACTCTCAAATTTTTCCTTTCTTATTAAATCCAAAACTTAGGGGCTAGAGAGATGGCTCAGCATTTAAGAGCCTCAACAGTTAAGAGCACTCGCTGTTCTTACAGACATTATGGGTTCAATTCCCAGCACCCATGCAGAAACTTAAAACCATCTGTAACTTTAGTTCCAGGGGATCCCATACCCTTTTCCAGCCTCCACAGGTAGCAGGCATACATGTGATACCCAAATATATATGCAGGAAAAACAACTATATACATACAATAAAAATTAAAAATCGGCTGGGTGTTGGTGGCCACACGCCTTTAATCCCAGCACTCAGGAGGCAGAGGCAGGTGGATCTCTGTGAGTTCAAGGCCAGCCTGGTCTCCAGAGCGAGTGCCAGGATAGGCTCCAAAGCTACACAGAGAAACCCTGTTTCAAAGAAAAGGAAGGAAGGAAAGAAAGAAAGAAAGAAAGAAAGAACAAAAAAAATCTTATTTTTTTTTTAATTCTTTTTCCTTTAACATATTTTTGTGCCCAGAAATATATAAGACCAAGAAGATACATTTGGGAGCTGGGGATATAACTGGCTGGATTCAAGTCTCGGCAATAAATAAATTAATAGTGTCTAGAGACTGTAAAGAGGCTTAGTGAGTGAGGTGCTTGCTATGAAGCCATGAGCACAGTGGCACACAACTGTAAGCCCAGCACTGGGGAGACAGTGACAGGCAGATGTCACTAGCCAGTCTAGCCAGATCAGTCCAGACTGACAGACCCAGTCTCAAAAACTATGATGGATACTGGGCGGTGGTGGTGCACACCTTTAATCCCAAAATGGGAGGCAAAGGCAAGCAGATCTACAACTGTGAGTTATAGGCCAGCCAGGACTTCAAAGTACACCCCCCACCCCCACCCCCCAAAAAAAAAGATTGAGGAAGATTCATGACATCCACATTGACCTCTGGCTTTTACACACATGTACACTAACACCACTACCTTTTTTATTTTTGTTTAAAAAGCTACACTTAATAGCTAGATGTGGCTAATATAAGTAGGAGTATTTTGAGAATTCCATAAATTTTCTTAAAATGTAGACAGACAATTGAGCTATATAAAGCATTATTTCTTTTTCTCCTTCACATCACAGTTAAGAATGGATGCTGACCATTGTGTTGCACGTACTTTAATTCCAGCAACTGGGAGACTGAGGCAAGCAGATCTTCATTCAAGGCTAGCCTGGTCTACATAGCAAGTTCCAAACCAGCCAGAGTTAAATGGTGGGACCCTGCCTCACACACCTCCATGTCCCATACTTCCCCATACCCAACAAAGATGGGATGATTGGCATTGCAGCTGCCAACTTGGACCATGAGGTAACCATAAGAATCAAGACATTTGTAGTACTAGTAGTGCACACCTATAATCCCAACACTTGAAAGGATGGTCAGGAGTTCAAGCCCACCCTGGGCTACATAATGAGATCCTGTTTATAAAGTAGTATCAACATTAAACAAAGTCACATGCTTACTGCATGTAATGGTGCACACTTGTAATCTCAGCATTGTGAGGGGCAGGGGGATCACAAGCTTGAGTCCAGTTTAGGCTACACAGTGAGACCCTATCTCTAAAAGTTTTGGAGTAGGGGCATCATGTGCTAAGCATAGCAAACAGAAAGATAAGTAGATGCCAGGTGGTGGCGCACGCCTTTAATACCAGCACTCAGGAGACAGAGGCAGGCAGATCTCTGTAAGTTCAAGACCAGCCTGGTCTACAAGAGCTAGTTCCAGGACAGCCTCCAAAGCCACAGAGAAACCCTGTCTCAAAAAACAAACAAACAAATAAAAAACCCCAAGAAGCCCACAAAGGCCTGCACCACCACATCCAGCTTGGGGGTTTCTATAAGGCAGACTTGTATCAAATTCTGATATAGCAGAAATGGATGAGACAGTAAAGTCAGCAGAGGCAAAGGTGTGGGGGATAAGAGGGTGGGGTTCTGAAGGAAAAACAAGCCCCAAACTGCTCTTGGCCTTAGAAGGCTCCCACAGTCAACTACCTGGCAGGGACTTACAGTGTTGAACTTGCATGCATGACTGGCCTGGCCAGCTGGGGGCTCGAGTCAGGAAGCCATGGCTAATGTAATTGAACTAAGTTCTTTACTTCTCTAATTGCATCAGAGAGAAAAACTCAGGGGCTATTAAATCCCACGAATCTCAAGAGTCCTCAGAGAACAGAACAGGAATCAACCTTAGAGGCTTTGGCACTCAATGGATACAGCACAATCCACACCTCTGAGGCAGGAAGCAGGATATGGCTAGAATGTCCCCTGGAGAGACACAGGAAACACCAAGAGAGCATTTTCAAGATGGGCAAAGGCATTTGGCTTCTGGTAACAACCCCCAGGGACATTCGTGACCAGAATCTAGACAACACAACAGTCGGTCCGTGTATTAGCCTCTTCAATGTTTGCTGGTTTTCTGGACTGAGCCAGACCTCCGCTGCAAACACCATGGGGAACGATCTGATGCAAGCGACAGTGGAGAGAAGGCTTCAAACAAATAGTTTATTTACTATTTGTGTATATGTTTGCACGAATGTATGTGCACTATGTGCATATCAGCACCCATGGAAGCCAGAGCAGGGGCCGGTATCTCCTGCAGCTGGAGTTACTGTGTGTTCTGATGTGAGCAGCAAACATCCTTACCTGCTGAGCTAGCTGCCTCTCCTCCAGCTCTACAGAGGGACAAAGATTTTCTACTAGTCTTCCCCTCCTTGCTAAGTAAGACACCCAGCACCTCACTTTATTCATTCTGCCTCCAGTAAGGCAATGACAACACTAGTATTTGATGATAATCTAACTCACTCAACCCTCTCTCCATAGCTCAGGTTACACCTGTGATCAACCAAGTAAAGATAGAAATGATTTTTTTCAAAGCCAGATATGGTTGTCCATGCCTATAATCCCACACATGGGAGGCAAAGGCAGGAGGATTGGGATTTAATGTTATCCTGAGCTACATATCAAATTTGGGGACAAACTCAGATATACAAAACCATCTTTTAAATAAAACAAAAAAGCGGTTCAGAAAAATATTTTTAAAGATTTTCTTTTTTAAAGACAGGATTTTTTCTGAGTAGCCCTGGCTAACCTGGAACTAGCTCTGTAGAAAGCGGTCCTCAAACTCACAGAGATCCACCTGTCTCTGCCTCCCAAGAGCTGGGATTAAAGATGTGCTATACAGTGAGCTTGAGGCAATCACCAGCTATAAGGGACCCAGTCTAAAGAAGAAGAAAAAAAAAAAAAAAAGGGAAGAAAAAACCCATATCAAACATGTTGTACACACCTATAATCCCAGATCTCAAGAGACCGAGGCAGGAGGAAAGTGAGTTTGAAGTCAGCCCAGGCTATTTTAAAGCAAAACCCTGCCTCAAAAAAATAAAAAATAAAAATAAACCTGTTAAAAAAAATTGCCAGTGCTAAACATATGCAGATATCCCCCCTCATTGTTACGTCTAAATAAAAAGGGTGTACCAACAGCTGTCACATGAGCCATGGGTCAGGAATTACCTTATGTAGAGGTGAGCTAACCAAAGGATGCTCGGGTTGTTGTGTGATATCTACATCCCTTTACATAAAGGGACTTGAACATCTAGATTTTGATATTCACAAAGGAAGAGTTGGCCCCTTGCAGATACCAAGTGTGTGCATATGTTCTTAGTGTTTTGTGTCTGTGAATTCACTCAGGCTACACAGGTTAAATGGCTCCTCTGTGGTTACTGGGGTCAGAAATTAGAGAGAGCAATGGTGGGCTAACAATCCCAGGCAGGGCCCATGTCTTCCTCCTTATTCTACACTACCATATCCCCATAATCCATCAGCAACCCCCAAACCCAATAAGACTGAGTTCAGTCAGAAAGGCTGTCCTCTACTGGGGATATACCTATATATATATATATATATATATATATATATTTTTATTTAACTTTATTTATGTGTGTTTGTGCAAAAGTATCAGATCCCCTGCTACTGAAGTTACAGACAGTTATGTAAGCTGCCATGTGGTGCTGGGAATTGAACCCAGGTCCTCTGCAAGAGCAGGCAGTGCTGTTAACTGCTGAGCCAACTCTCCAGCCCCAACTGAGGCTACTTTTGCCACCCCCACCCTCACCCCAAGAGTCACAAGCAGTTTTTGGAAGTAGTTTTGGCTGTCATAACTGACAGGTGTTCCTGGCATCAAGGATGCCACTTAGCATCCTTGTAGGTCTTCCTACAAAATCATCTTGCCCAACAAGACCCATACCCCCAACCTACATGGTGGTGGTGCCGGTGCTGGTGGTGCCCCACAGACTTCAGTATCACTCTGGTGGAAAACTTCCTGTGAGTAGAGTCCCAGGCATGGACAAGAAAACTGGTCTGCAGTTTATGAAGCTTCAGAGGCCGGCTGAGTGTGATGGTACCATCTGTGGCCACTTTGAATCGGGAGTCCTCAGAAAAGTGGGCTGTCCTTGGCCGACCAGTGCACCCTTCAAATCTCACTGTAGGACAGAGATCACAGCAATTAGACTATTGGAAGCTGGATCACAGATTAGGACATTCCTTCTCCAGAAAGTGAACTCGACCCCCCTACCAAATCATACAGAACATGCAGGAGCTCAATAAACCACAGGTTGATGATGGATGGCCGTATCCAGGGGGCCTCATCATCATTAATGTCTTCACAAATACAGCGCAACTGAGCTTTCGAGTCACCTAGTTGTCAGTAAAAACAGTATCTTGTCCATAAAGTAATTTTTCATTTTCAGAGTGAAAGCAAAAGAGAGGCAGCACGATATGAAAACAGACCATGAGGCTGGGAATGTCTCATCTAATCAAAGTGCTTGCAGCTCAGCCTGCATGTAAAAGGGCAGGATTTGGTGATGTGCATCTGTAAGCCCAGTACTGCTATATCACGATGGGAGAATCATCCAAAAGCTCATGGAACTGCTAGCCTACAGTTGACAGCCAAGTCTGCAGACCCTGCCTCAAACGTTTTCCAGAAGATCCAGGTTCAGTTCTAGTACCATTACAGTGGCTCCCAACTGTCAGTAACTCCAGTTCCAGCAGATCTGGTGTCCTCCATCTTTTGGCCTCTGCAGGCGCCGCATAAGCACATTACACTTGCATGCATACAAAACACACACACAATGAAAGTAAGAAAATCTTAAAAAGAAAACAGAAGTCAGACAGTGGGGGTGCACGCCTTTAATCTCAGCACATGGGAGGGAGCGGAAGGTGGATCTCTGTGGATTCAAGGCCAGCCTGGTCTACAGAGTGAGTTCCAACGCATTCAGGGCTACACAGTGAAATCCTGACCCCCCCCCCCAAAAAAATAATAAACAAATAGGAAGAAAGAAAACACAACAACAGAGCTTGGAAAGGAACACCTAAAGAATCCAAGAGGACACAGTAAGATCTCTAGACAAATATTTTGTTTTTGTTTTTTTTGTTTGTTCAAGACAGGGACTCACTATGTATCCCAGACTGACCTCAACTCACCATCCTCTTGGCTTGACCTCCTAAGTGCTGGGATTACAGGCATATACCATTCTGGCCAGTTTTAAATAATTTAAAGGGTAGAGCCAAATATAAATAAAAAAAATTTAAATGTGACACAAAGGAGAGGAATTTTGGAAAGGAACTTATATTGCAAGGCTCTACTGAGGTAGAGGTATCTAAGGGGTCCTGAAGGAGTCAGTTTTGCCACTAACATGGCTAAAGAGCTCCAAGTCCAGGACAGTGGTGCGAACTCACTGTCCTGGCTTCTTGGGAGACCGAGGCAGGAGGGATGCTAAAGTTCAGAAGCCAGAAATTTGGGGCAAGCCTAGGCAACACAATAAGACACCCAATCTCTTAATAAATAACCTTTTAAAAACAAAGAGAAATGAAGCCAGGCATAGTGGTTCATGCCTGTAATCCTAACACTCAGAAAGCTGAGGCAGGAAGATTGCAGTAACTTTGAGGCCAAGTGAGCTACATAGTGAGTCCTACACTAGCCTGAACTACACAGTCAATCTGTTTCTCAAAAAATAAAAACCAATAAACAGTATAGTTCACGCCTACAGTCGTAGTACTTCAGAGGTGGAGACAGGTGCATCAGAAAACCCTGCCTCAAAAAACAACAAAATCAGGGGTCACTGAGATAGATGACAGGTAAGGGTGCTTGCAGCCAAGCCTAACCTGAGATCAATTGCTAACCCCCACCCCTGAGTGAAAGAACTCAGTCACATGACAAGAGACTGACTTCTGTGAGCTGTCCTCAGATCTCCACAGGCATACACCATGGGACACTCACTCTTTGTAAACAAAGAGAGAAACAATACATTGAAAAGGACAGTTCACGCTGGGCGTTGGTGGCGCATGCCTTTAATCCCAGCACTTGGGAGGCAGAGGCAGGTGGATCTCTGTGAGTTCGAGGCCACCCTGGGCTCCAGAGTGAGTGCCAGGATAGGCTCCAAAGCTACACAGAGAAACCCTGTCTCGGAAAAGAAAAGAAAAAAAAAAAAAAAAAGGACAGTTCACAATAAAACTCATAAATTAGCCTACTTTCCACCTTTTCAAACAAGTGCCCATCACTCTTCACAGTGGAATTGCCATTTTGTTTAAGGCTTCTCTTACGAAAATTCTTCCTGTGCCTATTTTACAAAGCAAGGCACCTTTGCTTGTCCACTTGTCCACTTTGGGCCTGGGGGAAGATACCTGTTTCTGTGATGTTCATTTCTTCCACCAGGGGCCGCCCTTGTAAACATATCTGAAGTGAAAAGCCCTGTCCTTGCCAGAGAAATTTTGTTGGGGGGGATACAGGCACCACCATCAATTCCACTGGCAAAATACTGTCCTTTGACATACATACTTTGGGGTCAAATGATAGTTCCAGAAAGATCTATGTGAATTTATCTGTGTGTGTGTGTGTGTCTGTGTCTGTGTGTCTGTCTGTCTGTCTGTCTGTCTGTCTGTCTGTCTGACTGTCTGTCTAGTCAACATCTGTGTGGTTCTTCAGATGTTGTCCACCTAGAGTCTCTCATTGGCCTGGAACTCAACAAGCAAGCCTGCCGGGCCAGCAAGCACCAGGACTCCATCTGATGTCTCTGCTTTGTCAGACTTTTTTTTTCCCCCATGGATGCAGCAAGCACTTTACTGACTTGAGGCATCTCCCTAGTTCCCGTATACCACTTTTAAGTCCAAGTTAGGAACCTTTAAAGATGCTTTTAAAGAAACTCTCCCAAGCCACAGCACAAGCAGTGGGGGGCCTGGTCATATTTGGGGGTCATATAAGCAGGAGGAACAGGAGCTGGCTCTGATCCCTTTCCCCAGCCAGGACAAATCTAGGCAGTCAAAATCAACAGGAACAAGACTGAACTTGCCAAGGGTGGTGGCTGGCGAGTGAAAATGGCTTTGCAAATAACTTGGTGCAAGGCATTTAACCTGCTCAAGGCACTTCTTAACAGTGGCTCGTCCTCCCACTTGGAGAAGTGACACCTTCAGTATAACAGAGAGCCCCAACCTCAGTTTCCAGGTGCTGCTTAAGGCTCATTATCTCTCAGTAAAACCAGATCCTCTGGGCTGAGAAATAATTGCAGGAAAGTTGGAGGGGCTCTTCCAGCTTTCTGCAAGTTGCCCAACTCAGCCATGCAATACCAAGATCGGCACATGGAATTGGGTGTGTGCTGGCATTTCCACGTAGAAGGTGCTGAATAAAGAAAGCTGACAGGGGACTGAAGTCAGTCCCATCCACTTTTCGTTAAGGGGCGGTTACCTGCATCAGGTTGTCAGCAGCACATTTAATCACTAAGCCTTTTTTGCCCTCTGACCCTTTATTGTAAGTGTGTGGAGGTCAGAGGGCAGCACTTTGGGGTTAGCTATTTGCTTCCACATTCACATGGGTCCCACATATATGGATATGCCGCTGGCTGCTGAGCCATTTCCCATCTCAAGGTGGGGTGGAACGGGCAACTTCTCCCTGCCCCCCCCCCAGCCTTGCTGAGGCACCATGGGCATAGGCGTTCTTGTCCCTAAATTATACACTGCTCTGTTCAGAGCTGGGTCGCCTCACCCCAAAGTGGGGGCTCCTTCACTGTTATTCAGACCACCCTACCCCCCCCCATTGTTGACAACTGATACTGGCCCTCCCTGATGGTGCCTCTATACAGGGGCATTAATGATAACTGGGAAAGAGGAAGAAGACTGATAGAAGTAAGGTTGAGGTGGGCTTTTTTTTTTTTTTTTTAAATAAAACATATTTTCTTCTGGAGACACAGCTCTAACTGACCTAACACATGCAAGGTTTTGGATTCAATTGCCAACAATGAGGGGCAAGAGATTGGTCTCAAATCCAGCACTTGAAAAGAAAAGTAGATCAGGAAATCAAGGCCAGCCTTGGCTACATGAGACTGCCTCAAACTGCCCACCCAAGAAAGGGGGAATGTGTGTTATTGTTTCTTTGCTGATTACAATTAGAATTAATTCTTTCTTTAAATGACAAAAGCTAGTAAGAATGTCTTTCCAGATGTGTGTCTAATATTCATCAGTAAGCATCCCATCTTCCAGCCCACTTGGAAGAAGTAGTAGTTAAAGGCAGAAAACTCTGGAAGAGACAACTTAAGTGCAATGCAAATAAAGCCCCAGCTGATGAAAGCCTCCGGTGGCAGGGGGGTGACTGAAACTCAGCAACATTCTTTTGTGTAATTGCCATCATGCCAGGACCAGTCTTACTCGAAGGATCCCATTTCTTCTTCCACTGGGGTGGCCGTCACTGGAATGTGAGTGGGTAGAAACAAAGCTCCCACAGAAGTCTCTCTGAACATTACAGAAAATGCTGGGACTGAGGACCAGGGACCTGTCACCAAGGTCAGGTGACCACGGTTGGCTGCTTTAGTAAGTAGTGGGGTGATCCCAATCTCTCAGAAACTACTGTTTGAAAGTAGAGCTCTGCCCACACCACACGTGGGGAAGCGGGAGGTGGGGGGAGGCACAGACACAAGGGACAGAAGTTCCCCCACAGAAGTTCCACGGCTAATGCCAAGACCTTGGTGTTTAGCTTTACTTCGATTTAAACATATACATACATGGCTCGAGGTTACAAATGTATGATCAGAAAGGCTTCTGAACTCCTGGAGGCCACGCTGCCACTATGTACCCCAAACTATGGCTGTATTTTCTGACTCAAACACTGAAGGAGGAAGATGGAAAGTTTCACTTGATGGATGAAAGGACTGGGACAGACTGTCTCTCCTTTTGTGGTTCAGTAGAACTTTATCTAAAGTCTCCACAGATGTCACCACCCAGAAGACATCTCCCCAGGTCCATCATTTTCTTAGATGGCATTGGGTAATGCTGGAATGACCTCCTTTAATGAGTGTCCACAAAATTAGAAAGTACTACAAGCTTGTGAAACCACACTCAGCAGAAGATGTCACCATAGCCGGAAAAATAGGGCAAGGATGAGTTATCCTTGAGTCTGTCTACATCTGGGGCATGTTGCTGAGGAAGCATGGGTTCA